TAACGGTTCTGAAAAACTGAGAACCGGAACCGGAACCGTTCTCAATCGGTTCCGTATTTTAGGAACCGGAACCACTCATATCGGTTCCGGTTCCGGAACCGGCGGTTCCAAGACGGTTCTGGTTCCGCAAACGGGTACCCGATTCCGCTGCTCACCCCTAGCTGGAACACACTGCACAACATTAACAACATATTATGATATTGTCTTAATTATTGGGTATTTGTTCTTTGCAATGCACAGTAACATAGATTATGAATTTTACAATTTATTATTGTTCGTTTGACATTTGTTTACATTGAGGTTTGACATTACCACATTAGATTTAAGGGCCATTTGATTGATTTTTTATTAAGTTCTATATAGATAAAGTTGTTTGTATGAATTAATTTGTTTGTATAAGGGGCTGTTTGGCAGTTGCTGAATGATTTAGTTCAGAATAGTTAAAAGGTTAGCATGGTTAAGAGGATCAGAATGGTTAAGTGCTGAATGAAACAAGGTTGTTTGGTAATTGTTCTTTGAATGACAACAAATTACCATTTTAACCCTCAAGAAATACAATCAATTCTAAATGGATATATAGAAAAGATGTTGTTTCTTCATATCAGTATCAAATCCTCAAGAAATTGCAAAATGTCGGTAATYCAATCATCATTAACATTGTTACAAACATGAAATAAGCAATAAACACCATCAATTTCCAAAGAAAAATGCTAAATTCCCTAAACCAAACCCTAGACTTATCGAAAACACGTACCAGCAATAAGGAGAGGACGCATCAATAAGGAGGCTGTGGAAGGCGACCGGAGACGGCGACGAGAGGCGGCGACGAGAGGCGACGACGAGCGGCGACGACGACAGACCTGCTGGAAGAAGGCGACGTGAGACCTGCTGGAAGAAGAAGACCGACGATCGTTGGGTGGGGGGGAGCGATTTGAAGACCGGCGATCGTGTGTGGGGGGAGGGATTTGAAGACCGGCGATAGTAGGGTGGGGGAGGGGCTGTGAGCAATGTGTGAGGAACGTTGGGAGAGAGGACAAAGATGGAAAAAGAGAAGTCTGAATGGTTTAGAGAACCCTTAGAAGCAAAATGGTTAAGAGGGGTAATGTAACCATTCAGAGTCATTTTTTTTTGCCAAACAATTTTGACCTCTTACTGATTAAGAGGTTGGCTCTTAATGTAACCATTAAGAGCCAAACAAACAGCCCCTAAGTTAAAAAAGTTTTTTGTTTGAGAGAGTTTTTTTCGTAAATGTAAGGAGCGTTTTTTAGTTGGAAGGGACATCTTTGAAAAAAAAAACTTGGCTTTCTATGTAAAGTTCCCCCTAGAAGCTTACTGAATAAGCAACTTTCTATATCATTAAGTCACTACGAAACTGTCATGCATAGTTGAGCGAATAAGTTGTTAGTTCCATTAAACTTATTAAGCTGATAACAGATAGATCCTTAGCCTTTAGTCGTTAGACCTGTAACTTTTGAATTTACTTTTTGCTTACTATGACATTAATTTGAATGTAATTTACTATTTTAGTTAAAAAGTAATTATAGTTTTCCTTATGTTTTAAATCCCGTATATTGAAATAAAGTTTCTATTTTGCTAATTTCAATTTGGAAAAAGGAAAACTGGAAAAGAATGAAGCACAATCTTAATCCATGATTATCATTCTATTTTTTATATTCGGGGTTTTGGTTTTTATGTCCCCCCATTGTATATACTATTTATTATAATTAATAAAAATCAACATGGAAATGAGACACTGAGTTTGAATAGGTTCTAAACTCTTTAAAAAATTGCATGTTTCGTTGTTTTCACTGGCTTAAATAAAATAAGACTTAGGGGCATTTTTTTATTATTTTCGCACATGGCATCAAAAATCTTAGGACCGGCCCTGCTAATCAATCAACAACTAACTTTTAAAAACTAGTTTGTCAACATAACTTAACGAATGTATTGAAATATTTAATAAATTGTTTGTTCCATGCATCACTTCGGTTTATACGCCTAATTGCAAAGTATGAAAGGTGTCGAACAGGACGAATAATAAAGTAGTCGTATTGTCCCGGATACATACTATATTATGTTAGTGGCAAATATTGTCATATCCACAAAAACTCGGTGCTAATTGTGTATGTCAACGGATGTTCATATGCAAGTCAACTGAAAGCAATAAAGAGGGGAGGGGGGGA